GCAGTGGGCTCCCTAAAATGACGTGGGCAGCGGCCCTGCCTGTTCCCAGCGTGACCTGCAGGCTCAGAGAGTCCGATTTCAGATGACCAGGAAGGATTGCCCACCACTACTTGTCAGCACCGAAATAATGACTGAAATGCCGTTCCTGGTGCATAAAGACAGCCCTTCACCCCACAGTTAGAAAGAACATCGGGGCTGGCCCCATGGTGTAGCGGTTAAGTGCACTACGCTGCTGGCGGCCCGGGTTCGGATCCCAGGCGTGCACCGATGCACCGCTTGTCAGGCCATGCTGTGGCGGCGTCCCACATAAAAAAAAGTGGAGGAAGATAGGCACGGATGTTAGCTCAGAGCCGGTCTTCCTCAGCAAAAAAAGAGGAGGATTGGCATGGATGTTAGCTCAGGGCTGATCTTTCTCATAAAAAAAAAAAAAAAGAAAGAACATCAACTCACAAGTGCCCCTGAGAGCAGATACTAGGCGCCAAGCTCTGTGAGCAGACTCCTTCCTGGGAGGGGAGTGTAACTATTTATTATGGAAATTCTCAAACGTGTGTAACGGGAGAATAGTCTAAAGAACTCCCAGGTGCCGTGCGCAGCTCAAGAATCATCAACTCGTGGCTACTCTGGTTTCAGCTCCGTGGCTTCCTGCCCACTGCCACACTCGGAAGCAAGCAGGGGCTGGTTTCACAGGGACGGGGGAAGAACAGGGAGGCCCTCCCAGCCAAACTGGAGGAGGACTCCAGAAGTGTGGGCAAGGGAAGCCAACAAGGAGGGGTCTTGGGCAGGAAGTACCTGGCCAGACCCTGAGGTTAAGGAGGTCCCAGGGGAAGCTGCACTCAGAATGGGGGCTCCTGGTTCTGCTGATGGAGGAGAGGAGCCTGGCTAAGGGAGCCAAGCCCCATTTCCTGCCCCAACTCCACCTCTCTTTGTTTTCTTTCCCTCCTCTTTTCCCCCCTCACTCGCAATAAAAACATAATTACAGGCTTCGTAAAAAAAAAAAAAAAAAAAGGCAAATTATGGTGACATGCTTTAATTATCTGCCGAGCAATGGCGGGCTGAATTACACAGGCAGGGCCTTGGAGGTTACCTAAAAATAAAGCAAGAAGCCTCATTAGATGCTAATTGCTGCTTTTGCCAACTGAAGTGAGATTGTGGCGCTGAGTGCCATTCGGTGCCAGGGTGTGTGCAGGGAGGTCCAAGCCCTGGGAAGCTCAGAGCCAGGGCCAAGCCCTGCGGGGTGGCCAGGGCAGTGTGGGGCAGGCAGGGGGGCAGAGAGGAGCTCTAGGTGCCAAGGAGAGCACCTCAGTCTCCCCTCGATGTTCATTGGGCAGATGGAAACCCCAGGCTGGGAGGAGGGAGCAGCAGGCCCCAGTGAGACCATCAAAAAGAAAGAGTCCACAGCCTGTCCTCGGGCTGGAGAGGGGCCACACAGCCTCCTGGAAGCTAGGTATCTCCTGTGGGCTCCCGAGGACCTCTCCCTGGGCCTGGAGGCTGAGGTGGGGTGGGGCACCTGGCCTGGTGTAACAGGCCGCCTTTGCCTCTGCTCCAAGACCTGAGAAGGCAGGATGGGAGAAACAGACCATGGGACACTGGAACTCAGAACCAGCCCATCTGAGCTGGAAGGGACCTGAGCTCTTATACTCCTTCTGAAGCTGAGTCCCCAGGGTCCCAGGGGTTCCACAAAAGTGTCCTGTGTGCCCAGCCGGCCTGGTAGCAGCCTGGTCTTGGCTCTGAGCCCCAACAAGCTCTCGAGTGGGCATTGATCCCTCTGGGCTGCAGAAACCCCAGGCTCTGGTACCACGCCTGTCTCGTTCACCACGGCGCACCTGGACCTGGCCTGTGGCGGGTACTTAATACCTGTTGAACGAATGAGCACAGAAGGGAATCTGACAGGGGGGCCGATTTATCTAGTTTTTCCGGGACTTCCCTGGTTTTAGCACTGAAAGTCCTGCATCCTAGGAAGTCCGCCCCCTCCGGTCCCTGGTGACCCTAGGCCCGAACCCCACCCCTTCCCACCCCCCAAACACAATTCAGTCACACGCCTTGGCCTTTCAACAGGTTTAGGCGTGGTTCTCAAACTTGGCCTTGCATCCAGTGACCTGGACGGCCTATAAGAGGGACAGCGGGACCCCACGCCCAGAGCTTCCGGTTCAGCAGGTCTGGGATGGGGCCATAATTTGCTTTTCTAACGAGAGTTTCCAGGGATGCTGACGCTGATTTAAAGAAAGGTTCTGCTGCCAGAACAGTCTGAAAACCAGTGATCCACTTGGCCCCCAGGGCTGCACAGCAGGTCCCCTGGGGAGCTTGTAAAAGGACTCCAGCCGCCCCGCCAGCAGGCTTCAGACCCATCCTTCTGGGGTGGGGCCCAGTGCATGTACGATCTAAAGGGGGAGGGGATAGTATCTTTACTAGCCCAATCCTTTCACACCACCCTGAGGAGAGTGCAGTCCTAGGGACCGCCACTGGTAGCACCTCTGGGCGCTGGGAGGCCGAGGCCCAAGGGAGGGGTGAGCACAGGGCCTGTGGAGACCCCATCACCCCTCCTGCAAAGCAAAGGTCTCTGGAGACTGCCAGCTCTCTGTCCAGGGAGCCAGGGACACTGTCACGCCCCATCTTATTGAAATATACAATTCTGAAGATACTGAGCATCTGTCCACCTTTCCTGGGTCTCCCACATGAGCCCCCTTTCCTGGGTCTCCCACATGAGCCCTGGGAATTAATAATATGGGATGGAGAGCAAAGGTGAGCAGCCACCTGGCCCAGGAGGACCCACGGGTCTTCCCCTGCACACATCAGAGCAGGTCCCACCCAGGCCACCTGTGGGGTCCCACCCTGGCTTCACTGGCCTGTGCCTTCTAGATGCTGGGTGGCGCCCTCCCCCCCTCCCCACTGCTGCAGCAGGACTGACCTCTAAGAGTCCTGCTGGAGACTGCCCCCCTCTCCACCTCAGGCCCATGGAGCCCACACACCTCTCCTCTGTTCCCCAGACTCAGCTGCTTGGAATTCACACCCGCCTCCAGGCTTCCCCACTTAACCCACTCCACTCCCATTATTACCTTAAGACCCTCAGCATTTCTAGGCTGTTTGGCTCCCTGAGGGCTGTGTCTCCCCCATCAGTCTAGAAGCTCCCTGAGGGCAAGGCTGTGTTTCTCCCCTCGGACAGGGCAGTCTCTGAAGGTGGGGCTATGTCCCGTCCATCTGACTGGCAGCCCCCTGAGGGCAGGGCCAGGATGCCCCCTCCTACCTGCCCCTTCTCAGAGCCCCAGCAGGCTGGGCCAGGCCAAGCCTCAGGGCTGCCTGATGGGTCTAGGCCCCACTAAGAGGCGGCCCTTGCTCTGACCCTCAGCCACCTCATCTTCCCCCCAGGAGGCCTTGAAGGCTGAGGTGCCCCCCACCCGCTTTGAGCACCAAGGGGAGCAGAGGGGGCAGCAACCCCCTGGGAAAGAAGGTGATTCTCCCCCCTGGAACCTAGAAGGGGGGCTCCACAGATGTGGGGGCACCTGAGAAATTCCTGGGCTGAGCATCAAACCTTTGGGTTCCAGGCACGCCCTCTGCCTAGCCTTAGCCTTGGCCTTGGTGCAGCAACCACATTGAGAGAGAAGTGGGCCAGAGAGGGGACAAGGTGCCAGGCTGGGGGCACCATCAGAGGACTGGCTGCACTCCCCTCTGCATCCAGCTCCCCCACCACACACACACACACACACACCCCCCGCCCCGGGAGCTTCTGGCTAACACCCTTGGTCTGACAACCTAGTCTTGCCCGATTAGACTGGGGCCCTGGGTACAGTCCATTCTGGGTGGCAGTCTTAGGGACCATCCTGCGAAAGCAAGACGATCAGGCAGACACCCCCTTCCCCCTCCCTCCCTTACACAGATACTTATCGGGCATAGAGTTGGTGCTGCACAGTTTCTCACAGACACTCCAGGGAGAACAGATTTCCCGAGCACACGTGTGTGCGAGACCAGCCCTCCTCCGAGGAGTAAGATGGGCTCACCGCGGGGGCACTAACGTGTAGCAGTAATGCCACAGGCTCACCTCTACACACACTCCCACACCGGGCCCCGCCTGGCCCCACCCAGGGTCCCTCCAGGCCCTCGGCCACCGTGCCCCACACCCCAGTCAGCTGGCTGTTGGGGGGGTGGGGGGCCTGGGGGCGGGCGGGGGCGGGGTAGGAAGGGGCAGCACAGGCCGCCTGGGCGCCAGCTGCTGCTGGTGGCCTCATTGTGTCACTGGCTCTATAATTTACCGCCACCCCCACCCCGGCAGGGCCCAGCCCCTAAGCTGCTCCCCACTCCCTATCTCCCCACCTGCCACGGAAGCCAGCTGCCATGAACACACACTCACACACTTGCTGCCGGCCGGGGACAGGCAGCCTCACGACGTGGGTGCAACATGGACTCACCCCCACTTGGGCTTAAACAGACACTCACACAAGACAAGCATGCACATGGAGGAGCCAGAGGCACACGGACATGGGCCAGACAGACATACGCACACACGGACCTGTGCTGTGCACCCGACCCACGTGGACACGCGCCACACACTGATCTCCAGGACAGACACGCATCATCTTAGCACCTGTGACCTGGAGACAGGACAGGCAGGAGAGGAAGGCTGTGGGTGCCGGAAGCCAGTTTCTCAAGAGGAGAATTTCCTGGCTGGACGGAGATGGGCGGGGGGGGGGGGGTCCCAGGTATGAGGGACATGAGCCAGAGGAGAGGCAAGGCAGAAATGGTAGCTTCCTTAGGGGCAGCAGGGCGGACAGAGACAGAATATCTTCTTTAGGGGACCACCAGAGGCTGATTTCTGGACTCTGCAGCAATGTTCTGGCGCCTCCCTACCCCAGGCCTCTCCATGCCCTTGGAGGAGCCTCCACCGCCCCCAAGTCTCCATCGGCCAGTTCCTCCTTCCCTCCAACTCCAGGCCCTCCAGCTGTGGGCTGAGCCTGGGGTCCCACCGCAGGACCCTCAGTGGATGTGGAGCCGGGGTGCAAAACCATGTGTTTATTTTTATTAGAAATGTTCTTGGTATAAAAACAATCATGCGCTACACATTGTCATCAGTAACCATCACCAGACACCCAGGCACTGAACTCCGTGTCATCGGCAGGAGGGGCAGGCGGGCAGGACACACGGCAGACGGGCGGGGGCAGGCGGGCAGGCTGCGGGCCACGGGGACACACACAGAGGCCACCAGGAGGACGCAGCACTTTGCAACACACTTGAGATTTTTGTTTTGGCTTTTTTGTGTTTTGATTTTTTTTTTTCCTTTTTTCTCTTTTGTGACATGTACGATTTGGTGAATTAGGAAAGGATGGCCGGGAAAGGGAGCAAAGGCTGGATGTAAGTGAAGGCGAGGAGGGGGCCGAGGACAGGAAGAAAAATGCACAAGAGGAGAGACCCAGGTGGATCACAAGAGAAAAACGGGAGAGACCTGGAGATGGAGACTGAGGGGAGGCAGAAGCAGAAAGAAGACGACGCAGAAAAAGCAGAGAGTGCAGAGGGACAGAGACACACAGAGAAAAAAGGCAGCGACACAAAGAAATGAGAAAATGAAGATGGGGATGGAGACAGACTGAGAGGTCACCAGTGGGGCAGGCAGAGACGGAGGGAGACAGAAAACCAGCACTTGGGCCCTCACACCCTGAGCCCCTGTGGTTTGGGGCTGGGAGGGGCCGTGGTCCAAGACGCGGGCTCCTGGGGTGGCGTGAAGCTACCCCGCCCCTCATCCTCCTCTGTCACCTGCCCAGCTTGCCCAGGCTGCCCAGCAGTGACCGCCGGGGCTCTGCTGTCCTCAGCACCAAGCCACGTCCGTGGGCGCCCACGGGCAGGCAGGACATCAGCTAGGCCCCTGGGAGTGGCCCTGGCCCGACATGCCATCCACAAGGGCCTCGGTTCCTCCTCCTCCTGGTCGGCTCCGGCGGCCCAGCTAGATTGCATGGTTGGTGTAGCTGACGTAGGTCTGTTTGGTGGCCAGCGCTGGAAGGAGAGAGACCAGGGGTACCCAGGAGTCAGGGGCTGGCTTCTTTAAATGCCCTGCCCATGGCATCGAGAACTAAGCAGTCCACATCCCCCCCAGACTGTGGGCGGGCCCCGCCCAGCCCACCCCACCCCACTGCTTCCTGCGCTGTTCCCCCCACTTCCCAACTGGGCCCAGCCTCCCAGCACCTCCTCCCCACCCCACACCTTTGCTCGGGCTGGGCTGCTGGCCTGGCGTGCCCTTCCCTCTCCACTTTGTCGCTCCAGATACGACCCCCACTTTGAGCACTCCCTCTCAACCCCTACCCGCTGTGAGGGTCTCCCCGCCACGGGGCCCCTGCCACCTCCTGACCCCACCACACCTTAAGAGAATCATTGTTATCTGTGATATAATTATATAACCTTCAAGTTTTATCAAAGGGAAGTTTTTCAGAAGTTCAACACATTCTGGAGGAGCTCTTCATTCATGAAGAGTAGACGTGAAATACACTAGACTGGCAGTCCGGGGGAAGGGAGAGGCGGATGGGGCCAGAGAGAACCAGAGGGGCCTCGCCAAGACTAGAAACTCCTCTCCCCATACCCAAGGGAAATGGAAGTCCTCCGGGCCCCTTCAGCTCTCCACACAGCTACCCTTCTCGTTTCTGGGTATCCCCCTCCCGCCTCAGCCTGAGCCTCCCTTATCTGCACCCATCATTCTGGCCTTCGCTCACCCACCACTGGGACCAGGGTTGCAGGTCTGGGTATCTCCCGTTTCCCTGCTACAGCCTCCCTGGGACCAGTCCCCCACCCACAGCTGGGTGACAGCATCAGCCCCCACGGGCAACATGAGTGTCCCCCCTCCACCTCCAACCCACCAGGGTTCAGACCTCACTGCAGCCTAGTGAGGTCAGATTAGCGTCACCCCCATTTGAAAAATGAGGGACTGAGGTGATAGGAGTGAGGAGCCCAGCCAGGTCCTTGGTTTTGTCTCTCCAGGGCCTGGGGGACAGCTCAGTGGAGAGTAATCAACAGCAGAACTGCTGCCTGAAGTGGAGGCTGGTCTGTTGGCGCAGAAAAAGGAGGCTGGATGGGAGAAAATCATGGTGCCGTTTGTCATAAAGCCGCCCTGACCCAGAGAAGGAGGCGCATCTGCCAGGCTGAGCCAGGGGCGCCTGGCCTGGAGAAGAGGCCATGAGGGGAGCAGTGTGGTGGGCTGCATGCTGTCCCCCTCAATCCTCTCTCCATTTCTGCTGGGCTCATAACTGCCAAGTTAAGGATTACATTTCCCGGGTTCCCTTGCAGCGAAGTGTGGCCCTGCGTGACGACATTCCTGCTAATGACATGTGAGGGGAAGGGCTGTGTGCAATTTCCATGTCATGTTAATTAAAATAGATTGTTTCTCCTGTACTTCCTCTCTTTTGCCTTCCGTGGGCAGAAAAGACATGGAGGGCAACCAGCCTCAGCCATGAGGACAATGACAACCCCCTAGGAGCTGACGGAGCAACAAGATGGAAGGAACCCAGGTCCCTGCTTCTGCCCAGCCACTGGGCACTATTCTATCAGAGACAAATAAACATCTGCCTGATTTGAGCCACTCTGTTCTGGGGCCCCTCCGTCACAGCAGTGTAACCGGAAGCCCAGTAATACAGGCAGGATTGCTGTGTCCAACTCTCAGGGGGTCCATCGAGCAAACTTGTTGGGGGTGGGGTGAGCAGAGGGGCACACTGGGAGACCAGTGGGAAGGCAGGAGGGTCAGTGCACAGTTGAGCTAAAGGAAGAACTTTCTCCTGGCCAGAGCTGAGCATGGAGTGGTAGCCTTATGTGGGAGCTGAGCTCCCTGCCAGCAGAAAGATTCAAGCAGATGATGAACAATCGCTTGGCTGGCACTGGCAGGGAACTCTCAAGTTTTAGGTGCCACTGGCTCAGGTGCTAATGGAAGGAAATGGTGCCCACAACTTCCTGGAAGAGAATAAGAGCACAGCACCTTACAGTGTAGAAACAAGTCCCACCTTCATCTCTAAAATGACCCATGTTGGGCCGGCCCCGTGGCTTAGCGGTTAAGTGCGTGTGCTCCGCTGCTGGCAGCCCGGGTTCGGATCCCAGGCGGGCACCGACGCACCAATTCTCCAGCCACGATGAGGCCGCATCCCACATACAGCAACTAGAAGGCTGTGCAACTATGACATACAACTATCTACTGGGGCTTTGGGGGGAAAAACATAAAATAAATAAAAATTAAAATGACCCATGTCCCTCCAGGGTGCTGGCTGACCACAAGGGCGGGTCAGCTTGATGGGGCAGCATCTAGGCGGGGCCGGACGGGGTGCACTTGGGGAAGGGAGCTGAGTGACTGGAGGCAGGGCCCCGGGGATGGCAGAGGTGCTGAAAGGGAGGTGAGGGGACACACTGATCAGCCCTGGAGACAGGAGCCCCAGACTCCCTCTGTGACCTCAGGCAGCTCCTTCCCTGCCCTGCTAGGCCTCAGTTTCCCCACCTGTAACACGAGAGGGGTGGTGTGGCCTTTTTTGCCTAGGCTTCTTCTCCTGAGGGGCTCCCCCAACCCCCACATCTCCACCCCACTCTGTCCCCCCTTCAGAAAAAGAGCCAGCAGCTGGCTCTGTGCGTCATGCACCTGCAGGCCAGGCTGGGGAGAATCAGTTCCCCAGGGCTCCATCACCCCCGGGGTGAACTGATAAAATTGAGTTTCCAAACCTGTAAAGCCGTCAGCAACTCTGGCTCAGAGATGAAGGAAAACCTCAGCTGGCAGCAAAATCTCCACTAACTGCAGGGAAATGGACACCTGAGGGCGGTTGCGGGGCCCCGAGGGCCGGTGAGGGGATGAGAGAAGGTGGTGGGGAGGTGAGGGACAGCTGGTGAGGGACCCCTGGTGTCCCTCTAAGACCAGAGCTGTCTCCTCTAGAAAATCCAATCCATGGGTTCCGGAACCGGGAAGCGCATTCAGCCCTCAGCTACAAGCCTGGGGCCCCAGAGCCCTTCAGCTGAGTCTCAGTCTCACCACCTGGAAAACGGGAGCAGTGAGTCTGCCCGGGGCCCCAGGAGCTAACTGTGAGGCTCAAAAGGAAGAGCTCTGGCCAGGAGTCAGGAGACTTGGGGTCCGGTCCTGCCCTCACAGTACAAGGGAGCTCAGCACCTGCCATGCGCTCCTTCCGACAAACTGAACCTCTCAGAGCCTCAATTCCCTCATCCGTAAGATGGGGTGACAGTAAACCCTTGGCTGGCTCTCAGCCACAGGGTAGATGGAAATACTCTTTAAACCCTGCAAAATGGTGGGCAAAGGGGCTGAAATGACTGCAGTGGTGGGGACAGGATGGGGACAGCGACACTCCAGGGGCATCCTCAGTAGAGGAGGAAGGGACCAGGGCATGTGGGTGGAGGGCCCCAAACCCATCCCTTGCTGATGACAGGCCCTTGCTGCTGGTTTCCAGTCTCCGCGGCCTCAGATAACAATTAGCCGGGCAGCGGCAGGCACGAGCTGACAGCCCCCATTTGTCGCCCCCGTGTCTCAGCGCCCAATCTGCCTCCAGTTGGGCCCCTGAATTATTTATTCTGTTGTTTGTTTAAAGATACGTGGCCTACCAGTGACAGAGTGAAAAATGTCCCTGCCTCACAGGAGTGACACCTCCCCATTCCTCCCACTCACACTCCCTCAGTCTGACTGTCCCCAGAATTAATCAGCTGGCTCCCGCCCAGCTCCTCCATAGTCCCTGTTGTCACCGAGCTGAGAGATGCTGGGGGCAAGGGACACTGGCCTCTGGCCCCCTCTGTGGGGGTCAGGGGGAGTGGGCAGCTCTCCTCCTTCCCCTGCAGGAAGCAGGGGGCTGGGGATGCTGCGTCTCCCCTCACCATGCCTCCACACCCCTGTCTGACAGGGGTGGGCCATTGTAGCCTGTCCCCAGGTGACCAGCCTGAGCAGAGGCAGAGGCAACAGTGTCAGTGAGGTGTCATCAGAGCTCTCTGTGGCCCCCTCTGGCCTGTGGCAGCACCATGAGTGTCAGCCTTTGGGGTCAGGGTGTCATCTCCAGTTAGACACTCGCCCACGGTCTAATGCCCCACTCGCTCTCACAAGCCCTGGAGCAGAGCTGGTTTGACAGACCCGCTCCTGCACCAGCAGAGTACAGCCTTGAGGGATGGGACACAGGAAAGTCAGGAGTGTGGGGCCAGAGCCCCAAGGTGGGGAGGCTGTACGAGGTGCTGCCCCCAGCCCAACACATCAGGGAGGGAAGGTCTCCTCTTTCTCCTGATCTCTTAGTGGATGACAAAGGGGCTCCTCGCAGGAGCCTGTGCTCTGGGCCTTCCTGCAGTCTAGCCTGTATCCCTCCTACTGCCATCGACAATGTTCACTCTGGCCCTTCCCCTAGTACTAGAGGGAAAAAGCAGAGTGCTAACTCCCAGGTCCCATCAGGATCTGAAACTCTCCTGGGGAAAGGGGCTCTTCTCCTCCTCACCCACCAATGGAAGCCCCGCAAGACTTTCAGAGAAGGGGGGGGGGGGCAGGAGGAGCTACCATTTAAACCACTTGGGCACTTCCAGGGTGTCCAGGGAGGGAGCCAAGGTCTTCAGTGATGGGGGTGACCACAGTGACCCTTTGATCTCTCCCCCACCTGGAGCAGCTGGACACAACATCCATGGAGGCCCACCCACAAGCGGAAGACTTCATGGCTCACCCCAGGGCAGAGGCCTCGGTCTATCCAAGGAGACATCAGGTAGTGGGGATACCCCAGCGGAGGTCAGATCTGGCCTTGCCACCTGCTGTTGGCTATGTGACCTGGGTGAGTCCCTTGCCCTTCTGAACCTCCCCTTCCTCATCTGTGTTACTGCCTTTCAAGGCTGCTGTGAGGATGACAACTGGTACATGGTAGGTGTGGCACAGTTAGGGGTCAAGAGATGGTCACCACTAGTACTGGTTCCCCTGAGGCCTAACCTGTCTCTCACATGCCCTGCCCCTCTCTCCTCCTCTTGGTCTCTTCTCCTCACACAGAGGGCTGGCTCCATGGGGACCAGGGAAGTTGGCAAAGATGGTGGCCCTGCTCCCTTGGGTGCACATTCCTTACCCCACCCTGAGGGACCTGTCCGGCCCAGGCCTGGACCTTGGGCCTGCCCCTCAGATGCCAAGGTGCCTGCCTCCTTCCCTCCCCTGTCCCCGATCCCCTCAAAGCATGACCCTCTACTGCTGAGGTCTCCTTGGACTATCCCTTGGGGACACCTGCCACCTGAAAACTGTGGCCTCTGGAGGCCCTCTACCCCACCACACCTACTCACTTACCCGACCTGGGAGCCCATGTCCTAAGTCCCCATCTCTCAGGGCCCTGCTAGGGGGTGGCCAGGCTGGCATCAGATAGCAGCAGCTTCCAGGTTACCAAAGGGCCAGAGAGCAGAGGCCCTACAGACAACCCCTTCTCCCAGAGGGCACAGGCTCAGATGTGGGCGCCAGGGCAGAGAGAGCCCAGGGTCTCCCGGCCACCTGCATGAACCAGGCCCCCCATGGCCTCACCCTAGGAGGGGAAGAGATCCCTGGAAGGGCATGGCTAGGGCGGGGTGGGGTGGGACCCCGCGGTTCTCTCCTGCCTAACCTGGTGCCTCAAGGGTCTCCTGGAACTGCCTCTGGGCGGGCACTCACCCGCAGCCTCAGGGTTCTCCCAGTGCTCCCCAGGACCTGGCTAGGGGCGGCGCATAGCCAGTATCTAGGATGGGGGCCTGGGAGGGCCCAGCTGGAGGTGGGCGGGGCCGGGCGGGCCCAGCGGGAGGGGCGGGCCAGGCACTCACCCGGGGCCTCGAGGTTCTCGCAGAGCTCGGACTTGGCCTCGCCATTGGGCCGGAAGCCGCCCTTCTGCGTGAACTTGTTGGACATAGTGGCAGCGGTGACGACGGCTTTGAGGCTGCGCTTGCGCTTGGGCACGTTCTGCTCCGGGTGGAAGAGGATGATGTAGACCTTGGGCATGTAGAGCATCCCCAGGGACACCGAGGCGCTCAGACTCACCGAGACCGTCAGCGTCGTTGTCTGGATGTACAGCTGGGAGCGGGCCGGGGGCGGGTCAGAGCAGGCTCCGCCCCCGCCGCGGGCCCTGACACCCCACCCCACCCCCCACCCCCCGCCAAGAGACAGACACAGGAGGACAGACCCCGGCTGCCCTGTGTCCCGCTGGCTTCCAGCAGAAGGGAGTCGTGATATAGAACTGGGGCTTTAGACCAGACAGCCCTCCACCAGGCCCCCCACTCAGTGACTGCCCCCCACATGCCACCCTGTGCAGAGCGGGCCGTTGGCACGGGAGCCACAGCGCCCAGCGCAATACGCGGTGGCAGCACAGTCAAGCTCATTTCATGCTCGCTCGCCAGCACTAACGGTGACAGATGTTTAGCAAAATGCAAGTCCATTAATCTGGGTGTCGGATAATCCATTCTTCAATGGTGGGGCCTTCTGGGCAGGGCCTGACAATTCCCACCGCCCTGCCTAGGATCCCCTCCTCCCCTCCTCCCTCCCTCCCCATCCGTCGGGCCTCAGCTGCCCCTCTGGCCGCCCTCAGCCAGGGCGGAGCCAGGGGAGACCCAGGCTGCGGCCCCCAGGTGCTCTGCCCCCTAAATCTGCTGTTTCTGGGTCCAGGTCCCCTCCCCTGAGGCCTGGCTGATGTGCCACCTCCTCCAGGAAGCTCTCCCTGACTCCCAGCTCTATCCAATCCCCACAGACCTCCCTCTTTCCCTGCACCCAGCCCAGTAGTGGACACGGGTCTGGACTTGCTTCCTGAGGTCACAGGGGCCCTAGCTTCATCTGGTAGCCCCCTGGAAAGGAGGAGCCAGGTCTTCCCATTCTCATATGCTCCCCACCTCCTGCCTCTTTCCACAAATGCCTCATGCCCTGGATCTGAAGGCTTTCATTCCAGCCACCCTTCCCCAAGTTTTCCTACCTTCGGGACAGGGACTGGAGAAGCTCTAAGGTCTGAGAGGAGAGAGGTGTGTGACCCTGGGGAAGTCTTGTCTGCTCTCTGGCCCTCAATTTTCTCATCAGTGCAATGGGATGACAGCACCCATCTCCCACAAACTGTGTGGCTGCCCAAGCACAGACTGTGAAGCCCCATGAAACTTGCACAGCACCATGCAGAAGGAGGCTGGGAGTGTGGAGAGGCTGTCTCACTGGCCACCATTCAGGAAAATGTCACAGGCCAGGGAAACAAGAGCCTGGTCCCCAGTGAGCACACACCCCTCTGAACACAGACAGTCATCCCCAGTCCTCACCCACGACCCACACTCTCACCCATGGGTACAGAGCTGCCTCCCAGCATGTAGACCAGGAAAGGCCATGATAGGCCAGTGGGAGGGTGCTGGCCACCCCTGACCCCCTGAGATAGGGCTGGTGGCCAGGGGGGAAGGCAGGGGACACAGGCTGCAGAGTATCATAGCAGACCCTAGGAGAACAGAGGGGAGGTCTGGGCTAATTAAGAACAGGGTTGGGGGGCTTGCCCCATGGCCTAGTGGTTAAGTTCAGTGTGCTCCACTTCAGCATCCGGGGTTTGGTTCCCGGGCGCAGACCTACACCACTCATCAGCAGCTATGTTTTGGCAGTGACCCACACACAAAATAGAGGACGACTGCCACAGATGTTAGCTCAGGGTGAATCTTCCTCAGCAAAAAACAATGAACAGGCTTGTTCCTGGATCTTCGCCCCCAGACTAGGAGTTCCTGGGGACAGGGCTGTCTCCCTCATTAGATTGGGGTTCCCTGAGGGCAGAGGCTGTCTCTCCTTTCACACTGGGGGTTCTTGGGGATAGGGGTTGTGTTTCCAGGTCAGACATCTATCTTAGGCCCTGACCCCTGTCTTGTTGATGGGGGGTGCCATTGGGCCCACATGGAGCTGGTGGGACGGGGATAGAGGCTCCCCTCTCTGGGCAGAGTGAGCCCTGCAGTGGACACAGCCCTGTGTTGGGGGCCAGGGGCCCGAGTTCCAGATTCCACTCTGCCCTGACCACGGTGGGATGCTGGGCCCCTCCACTAACAAAGGCAGAGTTGGCCCCATGAGCATGTGCACTTGGTTTAATGTCCTGCTGCTGACGTCTTGAATCCTGAATAATTTTGAACAAGGAGCCTTCGTTTCCATTTTGCACTGGGCCCTGAAAACTACGGGGCCAGCCCTGAGCACAGGCACGAGCACAGTCCTTGGTGTTCTGTTCTATTTTGGTTTTCAGCCTAGGAGTCCTTCTGCAAACAAAATACAAGGAGGGGTGTAAATAGATCAAATCTGAGCAAAGCTGCCCCCATGTGCTGGGGCCCCTCCCTCTCAGCACGAGCCCTGGGGGCTCCTCTAGCCATCCCCAGGCTGGGGGGGCCAGCCCTGTGCAAGCAGAAGTGGGGCTGTGCACCCAATCCCTCTCCTTGCCCCAGGGTCTGGAGTTCTCACCCCACCACTGGCTCAGGCATTGTTCTGGAGCCCCCATGTAAAGATGCACATCGTCACTGGGATGCGGTAGCCTGCTGATCCTACAGGAGACACAGTGGTCCCCTAGAAGCTCTAGGACCCAGCAGGCACCCCTACAGGGATGGGGCTCAGGCCCGAATGCGGGTCTTAAAGGCAGGCAGAGTGAGAGGCAGCTTTCAAGATGCCACCTCGCCTTGTCTCCCATCCCCCCATCTCCCAGCCTGGAGGTGCCTGACCCACCACCATTGCGGCTCCTCTCTTCAGTCAGGCCCTTGCTACACTCCTGTCCTCTGCGAGGAATCCTCATTAGCCTCACGAGCCACTGCTCTCCAGAGCAAAGGAGGTGTCAGGGCTGGGTTTGATGGGGGAGGACAGAGGTCACCTTGGGGGGCAGCAAAGGGAACAGAAAGGAGCTGCTGTGGAGGCAGGTGATGAATTTCCAGGTTTTGTGCTAGGCCTGGTGGGTTCAAGGTGAGAGGGCCCGTGGTGGGGGCACCAAGTAGTTCTGCCTGCTCTGTGCTTCTGCTCAGGCTGAGCATGGTGGGACTGAGATCCTCCGACTCTGCATAAACCAGACAAATGAACTTGCCCACAACCTGGCTGGCCTCTGCGGCCTCATCCCACCCAAGCCTGGCTGCCTAGTAACCCCACGCGGCGGGGAATCTGCACTTCGGACGGCTCAGGGTGACGCCACGGGGCTGCGGTGGTGAGTCCCGGAAATCCTGGCTCACGCTGGGAACCCATCCACCTGCTCACAGAGCGGCACAGACAGCTTCACTCTGCACCAGCGCCTGCACCCTGGGGGATGGCGCAGCTGAGCATGTGGAAGTGCGTGTGCACACACACCTGGGCACACATGCATGCCCGCAGATACACACCTATGTACATGTGCATATCTGCATTCACACACACCTGAACTCACTTACACCTGACTCAGACACACATGAGCTCACCCACACACCCCTTCCCGCACCTGCGGACACACACATGCATACACCTGGATGCATTCACTCATATGAACACACACGCATCTGCACACACCTGCACTTACACTGCTGGGCACACACACCTAATCTGCACACCCATACACACACCAGCAGGCATGAACCCCTCAGCACATACACCTGCCCATCCCCACTCGATGTGCACACATACACACACTGCCCATTCACTGCTGAACACGCACAGGAAGGCACACACACACTGTACACACGCACTTCTGGACACATCCGACAACTCCCCACAACAGCCCTACCCCACTCCATTCACACACACACACACCCGGCAGTCAGGCCTGCAGCTTCCACCGGAGCATTCTGTAGCTGTGACATGACACAGCACAGAGACAGCCCCAGGGTCACCTGCGACTGTAAGAAGCCTGGTGGTCTGAGCAGGCAGGGCCCTCAGAGCTCATCTCCTCCACCCCTCCTCACTCAGAAGCCCAGAGGGGAGAAGGGCATAACCCACGTTCCACACCATCAGGGGCAGAGCTGGGTCTTATCACCACATGCTGGTGTGAGGCCAGCCTGCTGTGTGACCCTGGGCAAGTCCTTGCCCCTCTCTGGGCCTCAGAAGAGACCTCTGAGGCTCCTTTTCATAATCAGTGCTGAGGGGAGCCTCCTAAAAAGGGAGAAATCAGAGGCAGCTGGGGTTGCCTGAGAGATGGGGGTGGCTGAAAGGGGGGGCTTGGCACCAGCACCTCAGGTTGGAGGGTCTGACACCCCGGGATGGCAGAGACCCACTGGGAAGCAGTGTGCTGGCAGGCAGCCAGAGGAAATTACGGGAAGGCAGAGCAAGGGGCCCACCCACCAGGCTGTGTGTACCTTTACTCCCTGAGGAGGCGTGGGAAGGGGCCTCCTGGTATCGTGGAGGGTAATTTCTCAAGCTGCCAGCTTCCCGGAGTGTGGGGCAGGCTCCCCTGCCGGCTTCGTGGGCACCCTGGGCCCTGGAGGTGTGGGGGCCTCTGCCTGCACCTGCCCTCAGCAGGGAGGGCCTCCGCAGGCCTGGTGGGGGCTGGAGACCCGGCTCACAGTGCCAGCTGTGCGCTGTGGCTGCTCAGGTGCACGGGGTGGCCTGCAGCCGGGCCCGATCTCAGACCTCAGGGCACTCACTGTCAGCCTCAAGATCTGCTTCTTGGAACTCCCTGCCCACAGGGCCACCACTGAAGACAGGCCACAGGCCTCCATTCAGAGTGGAGGGCACACCTCCTGCCCGTGAGGAGCTGTTGGAGAAGAGGTGGGCACCTACCAAGGAAGCCCAGGGCAGGGGAGGTGTCTCACACCTGCAGGGGGCAGTGTGGGCTGGGGTGGGGGCTCCTGAGTTAGACAGAGCAAAGTCCAGCCATGCCATCTACTGGCTGTGTGACCTCAGACAAGTCACTTTACCTCTCTGTGCCTCCCTGTCCCCATCTGTAAATAGGGATGGTGATATCTACCCTCTCCCACTGCTGTGGGGTCTGCTGGCTATCAGGTAAAGTGTCTGGCACATGACAAGCATCCCATCTGTGGGGGCTGTGGCCACAGCCTCACTGAAGCCAAGCATCCCTCGGAGCTCGCACTCGGGCTCACGGCTTTCAATGCCATCCACGGGCTGACGACTCCCCCAGTTACATCTCCAGCACAGCCCTCACCCCTGAACTCCAGACTCACAGTTCTTCCCCTCTACTGTCTTCCCCACCTGAGCACAGACACTTCTTCCTTCCAATCCTCACACCGAAACCCACAGAGTCACCCTGACTCTCCTCTGTGTTTCTCACTCCATGCACAATCCATCAGAAATCTGCCGGCCCCACTCCAGACACAGCAGAATCCCCTCCTCACCACTCCTGCTGCCAGCAGCCTCCTGTGGGATAGTTACGGTGACTCCGCACTGCCATCCTGCCCCGGCTCACCCTCCTGGGGCTCCACCCGGCAGCCAGAGGGACCCTTTTAAACCTACATCACAGGACGTCCCTCACGGTTCAGACCCCTGCAGTGGCCCCCTTCTCACCCTCGGTAAAAGCCAGCATGCTTCCCACAGCCCCTGGGTCCTACGCCATCTGCCCTGTCACCTCTCTGACCTCATCCCCACTACCCTCCTCCAGACCCCTCAGCTCCAGCCTCCTTACAGAGGGTGAACTGCTTTACACCCTCGTGTTGTGATTGTTACAACACGTGTAAGGACTTCAGGGGAAGGATCATGGCTCCAATCTACTGATGAAAAAACTGAGGCCGAGAGCCAGCCTGCTTGCTCAGGATCCCACAGGTAGACACGAAGCTCGGACCAGGAGCTGGGTTCCTCCGTCTCCACAATCCTCCCCGTCTCTGGCCTCTGTTTTCAGCGACTCCTAATCCTTCAAGATAACCCCACTACCACCACCAAGCACCCAGGCAGCACTGGGGCTGGGATGTGGGCAGAGTCACAGGGCCTTGTGGGTATGTCCAGACCCTCAGGCCAGGCCCACAGGATGTCCTGACAGAGCAGGCAGAAGGCGGCCCCTGTGCAGCCCCAGCCGTGCAGGGAAGAGCCCTCAGCTGACACGGCCAGGCCCCAGGCCCCTGGGCTTCGGGGCGGCTTGGGGCCAGGGAGAAAGGGAGCAAGTGCCCAATACATCTGCCACCGCAGGGACCCATGGGGATCCTGTGAGGGCAGAGAGAGGGGTGGACAGAGGAGCAAGGAGAAAGGACTGGACAGATGGGAAGATGGGCTGAGTAGCGAGAGACATAAGGGAAATGAGAGTCTAGAAAAGAAGGAAGCATGAAAGAGCGTGCAGCATCCTAGGCTGACGGAGAGGAGAGACGAAGGAGGGAGATGGGACAGAGAGAGAGAAAAGGGAGAGAAGGCAAGAAAAGAGAAAGGGAGGGAGACCAGAGAAAGCTCAGAACGTGGAGAAAAACTCGAGACAGAGAGAGAGGGCTGAAAGGCGGCATTTCCGGAGCAGGGTGAGAGGCCAGCCCCAGGAGGCTGCCCCGTCCTCACCCCGTCCACCACTCCCAGTCCCCGCCACTCACCTTGTCTGCTGACTGCGAGGTGCCGAAGAAGATGGGGATGAAGGCGAGCCAGACGATGCAGGTGGTGTACATGGTGAAGCCAATGGGCTTGGCCTCGTTGAAGGTCTCGGGCACACCGCGTGTCTTGATGGCGTACACAGTGCACGTGACCATGAGCAGCATGCTGTAGCCCAGCAGGCAGATGAGCGACAGGTCCGAGATGTCGCACTTGAGCACACCCCTGGCGAAGCGGGGGTCGAGCGTCCGCTGGTCCTGGAAGTCCACCACCGAGTGGGAGGGGTCCACCACAAACCACACGCAGATGCCCAGCAGCTGCAGGGAGATGAGGCTGAAGGTGATGGCCAGCTGCGAGGCGGGGCTGATGAAGCGCGGGGCGCTGACCGACCGCTTGCCCTGCTCGAAGATGCGGTAGATGCGGTTGGTCTTGGTGAGCAGGGCCGCGTAGCTGATGCTCATGCCCAGCCCCAGGAAGATGCGGCGCAGAGAGCAGGTGCCCAGATCGGGCTCAGCGATCATGAGGAAGGTGGTGGTGTAGCACAGGAAGATGCCCGCCAGCAGCACATAGCTCAGCTCGCGGCCCGAGGCCTTGACGATGGGCGTGTCATTGTAGCGCACGAAGGTGACCACCACGAAGAGCGTGGCAGCGATGCCCACCACGGCCAGGAAGAGGGGTAGCACGGCCCAGGGTGAGTCCCACTCAAGCTTGATGATGGGGATGGGCCGGCAGCCCGTGCGGTTCTCTGTGGGCCGCATGTCGTAGGGACACGTCTTACAGGTGTAGCGGTCCACCTGGTACTGGTACCCAGTGCAGGGCTCGCAGTGCCAGCAGCAGGGCATGCCCTTCACCGTCTTCTTCCGCTCGCCCGGCTGGCAGGGCAGGCTGCAGATGGAGCGGGGCAGCTGCTGCCCACTCCCCGGCCAGTGCATCCGCTCTATCTGGCAACAACAGCACAGAGGAGCGGGCCTCAGGACACGCCACCCAGTGCCCGGGACCACCCCGCTGACTGGCACCCTGTAGCCCCACGCCTGAATCACCAGTTGGACGGCTAAAGTCCAGCTGCCCGGGCCCCACCCGGACCTGCTGAATCCAAGAGCTGGATTTAAATAAGCTCCCCAGCACGACTCAGACACGGCTGACACATGGGGAATCCCAATCAAATCCAAAACTCTCAAGGGCTGTGTGGAGAAACTGAGCCCAGAGAACAGCAGTGACAACCTAGTCACACAGCAGAGAGAACTCAGAAGTCCTGACTCCCAGCCCCGTAAGGCCTTGCTCTTCACAGTGGTCCCCAGACCAGCAGCATCACCCAGGAGCTGGCTGGACATGCAAAATGTTAGCCCTACCCAAGACCTACTGACCCAGAATCTGAGCTTTCACAAGCACCCAGGCGACTCAAGTGCCCACTGGAATGGGGGATATGCTCCCTCTGGCTCAGCCCACGGGGCCTCCTCCAGGCGGCACAGGGAGTTGAGTTCAGCAGAGAGCAATGAACAGAGGTTTAATCAGAGGATGCTTAATGTGTGCCCAGGGGTTAGCGTTTACTTACATCTTGCTCTAAATTAGTGCTAGTCACAGTTACTGTCCCTGAAGACACGACTGCTGTGAGAAAAGGAACCACAGGAGTGTCGGCACGAACAACTGAATGTGTTACAAAATTCTGGCAAGTAAGCGAGAGGCCCAGGAGAGCTGCAGCCACCAGGAAAAGGGAGCTGACTACACTTGGGGCCAAATTCAGGCATCTGTTCTAAATAAAACGGCTCTTAGGAAGAGTTTATGTTTAGAGAGCACGGGCCTGGCCAGACTGGTGCCACCTTTGCACCAGGTGCTCACCTCTGGAGAAAGAATAACTGGTTGGTTCTGGGCTGGGTTTCAGAGCTGAGGAAAGGGGTGGGTGGGGAATCCAAAGATGGTCCCACAGTAGGAGGGAAAGAACCCTTAAGGAAGAAGCTTGTCCTGTGGCTCTGGGCATGACAGGATTGTGTGGTCCTCTGGAAGCCAAAGAGCACAGCAATGACCAGAGCCACCATCCTGCAGGAACAACGAGGCAGGACAATCCCTGTGTACCGGAGCTGTGAGACTGCAGGGGGACGCAGTGATGGTGAGTGTTCTGGAAAACTCTGTGGCTCCAGTGGAAAGAGCAGCAATGTGGTCAAATCTTGGGATCACAGTTCTGTTGCTAGCTGGCTGTGTGCTCTCGAGCAAATGCCTCGACCTCTCTGAGCCTTTGTTTTCCCACCTGATCTAATGATAGCAGATATGAAGCCGCTTTGCCCTTTGTTACTCATCGTGGCTTCCATTAGAAGTCATAATGGAAATGCCTTCTATTAAGGGCTTTGTGTTTGTCTCCCTGCTGCGTCTGCAGCCCCAGCACAGGGCTGGCCACGGTGGGGGCCCCATGAGTCTCTGTGGAATCTATAAAAGAAGTGGTGAAGTCCAGACAGGGGCCATGAGAAGCCGCCTCACTTTCAGACCCTAGAGGAAGGCAGTGGCAGGCAGGGTGGGACCTTGTCCTCGGCCCTTGAGCCTTGGCTGCTCTGTGACCCCACAGCACACCCCAAACTGAGCACTCAGGAGGAAGTGGGGAAGGTGTGATGGTTGAGGTCCAGTCCCTCCTCACCTCCTCCTGTCCCCCACTCCATGCTGGTAGAGGGGCCTGTATTACTGGGGAGGGGACCTTCAGGGTAGAGTCCACTGCCATGCCACACTCCCAAGCCAGGCCTTTACTTACCACATCTGTGGAATGGGGTAATAACAGTGCCTGCTCACAGGGCTGTGGTCCTCACAGTGAGGCCAGTGCTTACAACAGCAGCTGGACACAGCAGGTGCTCAGTGAGGATCAGCTGTGCTGCTACGAGTAACTGAGTCACTGCCCCACCCCCACTCCACCCACTGCACCAGGACGAGGCACGCCTCCATCTGGGTATTGTCCCACTTCACCAAGTGCTCCTACCCGCCCTGTTCTGTCTGTCTCCACTCAGCAACCCGAGGAGCATGACCACAGGAATGGGCTCTGCCCCCTGTGCGGTGTGGCCTTCGGAGCATCCCTCAGGCTGGGTTTTCCACGATATTTTCTCTGACTTAGAAGATTGTCGGGGCTAAATGAGATCATGGGTGGAAAGCGCTTTCAAGAGCTTGAGGGGCACACTGCAAGGAGAGATTCTTACAAGAGGGGACGGTGGGGACAGGATGCGATTCTGCCAGGATCCGGAACAAGGACAGCCGAGGCCCAACATGGACCTGGGCCCCCGGAGTCTCTCTGGTCCATCTTGATGTCACACTGTGCCCTCCCCAAGCACAGCTCACCCCTTCACTTTGCAAGGGACCAAGTCCATAGGCCCTTCCCTCCAAAACCATGGCTCTATTCACAGCTGGGGACACTGAGGGCCAGAGAGGGAAAGCCACCACATCCTGGGACAACCATGAGCTGGGAAAGTGTGGCTAGGAGGACCCAGAAGTCCCCCCCATAATACCCAGAAAAATGATGGCCTTCCAGTGTGGTTTGACGTGATGACAATCTCACTCTCAAACAGCTCCCCACCACCAGGCAGAACCCCACCATCTGACTGTGCCCTTCACCTCAAGACGTCGTCCTCCTTTGTCCAAACGCAGCCCTCCCTCCTCACCTTACTTCCCGCCACCCGCCAGGCCTTTGAGCATTTCTCTGCAGTGTAAATTCTTCTATCCAGAAGTTTTGGCCCTACGAGTGGGCAGCAGGCAGGAAGGCCCCAGGGCAAGGGCAAGGGCAGGGGCAGACAGGCAGCAGAAGTCCAGCTGCCCTGTTCTTCTGTTTGCGGGGGGCTCAGGACCCTTTGATGTCTGGGGTGGGGCATAGAAGGAAGCCCCAACTTGGCCCCAGCAAACCCGGGGGTCAGGGTGGTCAGCAGCTGCCTCCCCTGGCCCCCCTCCCAGGGGTTGGGATGGCGTGAGTGACTCTCCCCACCGCACCCCCCAGGCCCCGCCCTCCTGCCAGGCACTCACTCTGAGGTGCAGGTGGTCAGTCCAGGAGCCGATGACCTTGTACTCGGCAGAGCCGTTGCGCAACTGGTACTGGTAGATGTCGTAGCGCCCGGGCGCGTCTCCATTCTCATTGAAGGTCACGGGGTTCCCCGCAATGCCTGTGGGGCCGGTGGTGTCACACACTCAGTTTCTTTACTGAGCCTTTACCCAGAGGTGGGGAGGATTATGAGCCCAGGGCAGAGACACCTCCGGGGAGCCGCCTGCATAGAACCCCTTGGAGATGTCTGAAGAGATCCCCCCGACTCCCACCCCCCGGAACCCCAGGACCCCTCCCCTGGCTGCACAGCCCAGGACTCCTGGGCTGGGTGGCGGCCCGCACCGTGTGCCCACCTGAGAAGTTGACACTGCGGATGTACTTGAGCAGCTGGGTGCCATCCACAGGGTCCATGCGTGGGCAGAGCCCCACACGGCCTGGACACAGGTCGCGGTGCATGGCGTGCAGCGCGTGGCCCATGGCGTACACGGCATCGATCACAAACTGCACCTTCCCCTCCTGCTCGTATGCTGAGTCCTGCCCGATTCGCTCGCGGTCTGCCACAGAACACCCAGAGTGGGGCACCCATGAGGCCCACCATGCTCCAGACCGCGTGATGGGAACCAGAGCAGCCCCCGGGGCCCAGAGAGGTGGCACAGCTCGTCTGTGCCCACCTAGGTCTCCCAGCTCCTAGCCCAGTGCTGCTCTACCACCCTAGGGGATGGTCTTGTGGAGGCGCCTGGGGGACTGCCCCCAAGGTGAAGAGAAGGGCCCACTGCCTTGGCCACCATACCGCTGCTCCCCGTGCCCTCAAGGCCCCAGAACAGCCAGGGCAGGGCCCCTCATCACCATCGCCCTCGGGAGGCAGTGACGCAGGGGTCCCCTGTGGCTGTGGTGCCTGTCTGCCCTCCCCAGCCTGGCCTGGACTCATCACGGAAGCAGCTGTCTCTTGCACAGGCTGGGCGCTGTGTCTGTCAACAGGGGCAGCGGCACCCAGAGAGCTGCTCGCCCAGGGCAGCCACTCCAGCCAGAGGATGCTGCCCCCACAACAGGGTATAGGTTGGGAAACTGAGGCCCAGAGAGGGTGAGAAACTGGCCACAGTCCCTCAGGGTTCAGGACCCAGGCCTCCTGATGACCTCCATGGCCTCCCCTTGTCCCATCGTCTCCACCTACTCCTCTCCCACGTCACTGACGACCCCCCCACAACAGCCAGGGTGACTGAGCTTTGCAAAATGGGGAACTCACCTCTACCCACTTCTCATCGCAAACTGCAGTGGCTCCCCGGGACGCCGTGGGCTCGGGGCTCTGGCCTCCCATCCTCACCCCCTGGGCTCGGGGCACCCCAACCCCTCTGCTCTGGGGCCCTGTGCAAGCTGCTGGGCTGCCTGAGGCCCTGGTGTTCTCTGGGTATAAAGGGATCAAAATCCTAACTCATAGAGGGGCTGTAAGGCTTAAATGAGTTGAGGAACAGGAAACACTGGGCACAGAGGAGAGGACTGAGCCACGTTATTATTGTGCTAAGTGGTCAGAATGGGGGGTTTCTGAGGTGGGTGACAGAGGTCCCTGGGCCGGAGCAGGCCAGGAAGGCTTTCTGGAGGAAGAGGAGCTTCCTGGCCTGAGCCCTGGGTAATAATGATCACAAAGAATAAGGGCTGCTGACTTCTATTTAGCACCTACTCTGTGCCAGGCGTGGTTCTAAGCTCTTTATATGTATATTAACTCATTGAATTCTCACAAGGGTGCTCTGAGGTGAGGAATTATCCCCATTAGAGAGATGAAGACACTAAGGCACAGAAAAGCTCACTGGAGTTCCAGGACCATGCAGACTGGATCTGAACCCAGGCACTCTGGCTCCAAGCCTGTGCACCACACTACACCTGAGGGATGGTATGAGCCGGGGCCAGGATGGGGGGGTGGGGCGCGGCGGGTAGGATGGCAGGGGAGAGGAAGGGAGAGGCTGCACAGAGCGCTAGAGAAGCCCAGCTTCCCCTCCCAAGGCCACAGCCCCCGCACACAGCTTGACCTGCAGCCTCCCCCTCAAGGCCAAGGAAATCAACCCTCACAACAAACCGCCCCCCACCCCCCGCCCCTGCAACAGCTCCCTGCGAGAGGGCCAGTGCCACACCTTGCAGAGGTCATTTCCCAGCGGGCAGCAGGGTGAGTGGCTGCACCTGTGCCCAGCCGCGTGGCCACGGGCCTGAGCCTCTCATGTCTGTCACGCGGGGGCCAGGTTGAGGCCCCAGGAGTCTGCAGCTCACCCCCTGGGTTCCTGAATTTTTAGCCAGTGGATGGTCACTGTGCCCTGCCTGCCCAGGGAGCCCACGGAGCTGGCGGCACGTCTCATATCGCTGCCTCGGCCACCAAGACTCTGACCAAAGTCAGAACGGGGCTCCAGTTACCCCAGGGTCAGAGATCAAAGTTCACTGGTCCTCAGACTGGGTAGTTTGGGGGCAGATGTCCAGTTGGCTCTGGGGGCACTGTTGGTCCAGACAGAGCCCACAGCTTCTACGGTGAGGCCTCAGGGCTGGAGACCGGGTAGGCTTCCAGGCTGCCTACCGGCCTCTCCCGGCGGTCAGCTAACCCCCAGCTACCTGCTCTCACTGCCCTGCACTTGCACAGGAGTGTCTGGGCTCAACCCCCCGCTCCACCAACCGCTCTAGCTCTGTGACCTTGGACCTGTCACTTCCTCCCTCCAGCTTCAGTTTCCTCCTCTGCAAAATGAGGATAATGACGGCACCTACCTCGTAGGGTCAGACTAGGGTCCCTGTGAGGATTGCTGGGTTAATATTCACAACAGGTCATAAAGAGAGGCCTGGTGCTTGCCAAGCGCTTTGGAAGTTTGTTAAGCATGGAGGGCCCAAAGAGGTGTAAGCCTGGCCCTGCCCTGAGCTCCTGGACCAGCAGAGCCTTGCTCACAGGCAAAGCTATCTCTAGGCCAAGGCACAGAGATGGGGATGAACAGGAAAAGCAAATGCTCCAGCTACACCAGCCTGCCCTCTTGTCTGAGGCTTCTGATCATAAGGTTCTGAGAGCCAGGAGAGAAGCATAAGGGACAATCCTATCCCCAAAGGGCAACAGAGGGGGCCGGGACAGGGTCATCTGGAAAGCCCCAGCCCTGGACCCCACCCTCACTGCCCCCACCCCCCAGGTCCTGCCCTCTACAGGAGAAGAACCTAAAACACCCTCAACTCCCCTGCAGCTCCCATCACACCCTCGTTCCATATAAATGAGAAAGAGACTGAATTATTAATCAGGACGGAGTGGGAGGCTGCGGCCACAGCAGAGAGGAGGCAGCTCTGTCCCCAGGCCAAGGATACACCAGGCCGACAGACCCCGGCTGCACCTCTCAGCAGCTAAGCTGGCCCTCAGCCTCTCTCCCCTCCCTGCCTCCCTAGGGGTCCCTCCCCAGCGGTCTGGCTGAAGCATCCATTCCTGGGCTCTCACTGGGGTCACGAAGCTGCCTGCACCGACGCTGGAGTGCGGACGACGCCACAGGAGCACCCTCACCAGGGAAGCCCACCTCTGCCTGGGGAGCCCCCAAGGGAGGGGCTCTGGGGTCCTGTGTGCTGTCAGTGACCCTTGAGCACTGCCCCTCCAGAATCTCCACCCCAGAGTTATTACGGCACCAGCCAGAGACTTCTAGAGACTTCTCAACACACTTTCCTGTCCTTGATTTTTGTCTCAAGTCCAGCCGCAATTAGAGGAGAAAACGCTGTGAGGCGACCTGCAAAGAACTTTTATTTACAAGGGAGCACGAGGCCTTGAGTGTGCCTTCTACACACACACACACACGCACACACACCCCTCAAACCCCAGGGGCCTTTCCCCGAGCCCCAAAGGAAGCAACAATGACAGAGCCCAAGTGTGCTCACATGGCGGGGAGCAGGAATCACAAATTCAAGTTAAACGAGGACAGATGCTCTGTCTTAAATGTCTGAAGCTGCGCCCATCACTAGCGGGGGCGGGGGGCGGGGGGTCTCTGCACAGCAAATAACCCCGCAGCAGGGCCTGCGCATGCCAGGCATTTTCTCTTCCCGGAGGCTCTGGGGGGTAGGCTGCACTGGCCCCCGTCAGAGAGGAGGTAACTGGGGTTTGCAGGTGGTCGAGTGACAACCCCAGGGTCTCGCAGGCACCCTGGCACCCAGCAGGTGTTCATACATACCTGGGGACTGGCCTGGCTGGGAAGTGGCAGAGCTGGGATGTGAACCTGGATCTCGCTGGCTCCAAAAGAGTTTTCCCCGCCCTGAACTGTCCCTGCCCCTCTCCCCCCATCCAGCCCGACTTGCCTCCCTTCTTGTTCTCCGGGAGCCCAGGCCCTGCCCCAATTGTTTGGCCAGGCCCAGCCAGGAGTTAAGGATCCCTGTCTGCAGGGCTAGAGGAGGGGGGTGGCCGTGGAGGGAAGCTGGGTCAGAAAATCCCCTCTGGTGGGTGGGCGGACCCCCCCAGGCAGGGCCACCGCGTTCTGGGAGGAAGCAAGACGCACATTTCTGAGAGCTACTGGAGGAGATAAATTCCAGCCACATGGCGGCAATGACAGCAGCAACAGTTTGAAGATGTCCTAATTGTGTCCCGGGGCACAGTGAGCCAGAGATGCGCTTGGCTCTGCCACGGGTGACAGCCAGCCCGAGAACCATCAGCAAGGGGATTTTCTCCATCAAAACCCCGCAGCTGTGGTTACTACAGCGACTGCAGCCTTTGTGTGCAGGTTGTAAATTGTAATTGAAATGAGTTTTCAAGGTTGACATAATCAGAGTTCCTCCTTGTCTCCCGCCTCGCCTCTCCACAACGCACCCCGCCCAGCCGAGACCCTCCTGAGTTCTTCACTGTGTACACACACACACACACACTCTTGAGGCGGCTCCCACAAACAAAGGTATACAAAACCAACCATATACACACTCACGTTATTCTCACATCTACACATGTAGAGGAGAAACACGCAAACCTGCGTGCATTTATATACACGTCCATACACATCTCCGGTTCAAACATATACAAACACAAATGTACATATAAACGCACAATGTATACACACCTAGACACTTAGCATGACACGCACACAAGCATGCGGTCACTCGGATTTACCCGCTGTCAGGCGAGAAGCCGCACAGGCAGGTCCTGACAAGGATCTGCGTGTAAGGGTTTTATCTGGGAGGCAATGCCCGCAAGCACTTGTGGGGGAAGGGGAGTGGGACGGGGCAGGAGGCAGTAACCCCGGGCGGGTGTGGGGCTCAGTCCCCCTGGGGACCTCCAGCAGACTGCCTAGGGTCATCCCACCTGAGAGGACACGCACCCCAGCTCCCACCGGTCTTAGGCTGAGGGCTGCTCCCAGGGGTATGATCTCCACTGGCAAAGGCAGGGATGGTAAGCGCCGAGGGGACCCCGGGGCCCGGGCAGTGTCTGCATCCAAAGGTGCAGTCCACACGTGTAACCCCGCATAGGTGTGTGTACATACCACACACGTGCACACATATATAAACTTGCATTTACACACACACCAGTTTTCGTTCCTTGGCAAACTCCCAGGAAGAGGACCAGAGGTCCCAGGATCCCTCC